ATAAAATACGATACAAATACATAAATTTTAATATTTTTCATAATAAAATATACATAATAAAATTTTATATTTTTTTTAAAGTATGTACAAAAAAAAAAGATGATATCATAGAAATCAATTTTCCTTTTCAGGGTAGTAATCAAGACGAAGACACATCTGTCACCCAGCTTAATGTATGTTCCTTTCCTCAACAGTTGATATCTGTTAGTTAATTTGATGGTTAGGACAGTTTGGTTTAGTGGATAGGTTAGCCAAAGAAAAAGTCCATTAAAACTCTCTCCCACCAAACCAACAGAGAAAAGTCAATTATCTTGACTTTCTATGTATCCAAAGCCCCCCGTAATTTTAATCAATTAGTGATTAAATTAAATTTGAGATTAAAAAATATTATCTTGTTCAAGCTGACATGTGAATGAATTGATGAATTCCTTAAGCCTCTTGCTTAATCCCATCTTGCCCGAAATGGCAACCAACTGTCTCAAACCATGAAACACCAGCAAAATTCCACCTTCACAATAATTTTTTTAGTTTATTATTAAATATATTGATAACGAAATAATTTAATTTCACAAGCGATATTAAAATTTTGACATATTTTTAAAATTTTTTTTATTATATTTAAAAAATATACATCAAAATTTATTATCAATAGATGTAATACTTTATCCTTTTAAGTTTACTTTGATTATTGAAATAAATAGGAAGATTAAGGCTTAAGATTTCCAATGAAAGACCAAGATACAATTCAAAGTAAATAAAATTGGGTTTAGGGTTCCCAATGATTAATGACAACTTGGTAATTTTATATTTGTGGCTCAACCACTAATGTACCATACATCATTAAACAAGTGGGGAACATGTGCTCATGAGTAATTATAAAGTTATAATTCATTATTTGAATTCAAATACCATAAAAATATAACTCATATAAATATAAACTACATATATCAAATTTGGAATAACCGTCATTTGATTTATGAAATTAAATAATAATTAATTCATTTGTTTTATTAATTAACTCTATTAAGATCCCATTAACAAAATAAGATAATGAAATGACAATTTTTTATTACCGTGAAATTTTAATTTAGAATCAAATCTCTATCAATCGAAGTTTTGATTAAAAAAAAAATTGTTGATTGCATTTTTTTATTTTACTAAATGAAACTTAAAGAACTATGAAATTAAGATAACTTTTATATCAATAATCAATAAATCATATTTTGCATAGATTGTAAAAGGAACTAATAAATAACGTAAACCCTTAGTTTTCTGTCAAATATTCTTGCTATTCAAAACATTAAAAAATGATTGGGCAAAAAAAAATAAAAAAATGGGTGGGACTGTTATATCGTACTAATTTGGGGTGTGTTATGCTACGTGGCATCCTCATGGTCGTGCAAAAATGGGACAATAGAATTTTCACATGTGAGGAAAAAAGCTGATGACGTGCACAGCGTAACCAATCGTCACCAGTTGGTGGCGGCTTCTTTGCTTTTCAGTTTCGTTTCGGCCCCAAAAGTCAACAGTTTTTAAGTTACGAGAGTTAGGCTAACACTTTCTGAAGCCTTCCTATTGTGGGGACCACACGTTATTATTGACAATTTAATTTTTTTTATTCAATTATTTTTTCCGGATTTTATTCCGTATTCTACTATTCAAATCTAAACTTTTTTATATAAAAATTTATTAAAATTTTATTTTGATACATCTTTGATTAAACTTGTTCAAGAATTTGGTTACTCATTCAAATTTAAAAATTAGTCCAAATTTTGAGATGATTTAAATGAAAAATTAAAACATATTAAATAAGCTTAAGCATAATTTTTAAATCCAACCTTAGATGTGAATTATATGTAAATTAATTAATATATATAAATTTAAATAAAAATTATATATAGTTTATTAAACTTAATTTTATTTTTTAATTTTTATATATATAATTTTTATTTTTAATTTCTATATATGCGAGTTAAATATGATCTTATTAAACTTAATCTAATCATTTTTTTAATTTTTATTATATAAATTAAGTTTAATAAATGAATTTAAAATTTATTTTTTTAATTTGAATAAGGTTTGATCCAATTCTAAATAAACATATAAGTTATTACTATCAAATATAAACCTGATTGGAACCCGATCCGACCTAACTTACGTGCATCTTTATCCTCGATCAATATAAAATTAATGAAATACTCAAATAAGTGATTAGGAGATAAGATAAGGCCAAGAAAATATGAACAAAGTAGTTAAATCAAAAGATTTTTTGATTGAATGTCGAATTTTTAATTTCAATAATTGAAAAAATAAAATTAAGGGTTAGCTTAGCTTCTTCTACTCCAAAATGTCAAGATTATGACATAGAATTTGGTTGGCTATCACCTAATCTTCTAAACTACTAATACAATTATTCACATTTACAATATTGTTTAAAATACAATCATGCTCGTGTCTTAATTAATTTTAGATAATCATTGATAGATATATCACTCGTGTTTGTAAAGTTTGGATGTATAAATAACAAATATATATTTTTTTTGATAAGTTATACATATTAAAAAGTCACGTAATCTATAGTAATCTTGAACTCAAATTCGTTCTTAACCTAAAACTTTATCTTAACCCTTTTGTCTTTCCTTTTGAAGGTCAATAATTTTGCTAGTTATAATTTAATTTTCATCTAGAAGCTCAATTGAAAAACTTTCGTCTTCATGGCACCAAATACATCGTTTGATATGATAAAAAATTTTCAATCAAATTCATGAATAATCCTTTAATTTGTAGGGATGGATCCAAACAAAGAATTAAGATATTTATTGACACTCGAAAGATTAAAAAATAAAAAAAATTAATATCATTTTAATCATTAAAATTAATAAATTTATTATATATTATAAATATAAAAAAAATCTTAAATTCAACGCCGTTTTGCCGCTGATATTTGCAAAGAAGAAGTGTACAAATTCTATGCAAATACCAATTGGAGTTAATTTTTGTTTTGTTTTATTTTATATCATTAGCTTGGAGCGCTATTTTTTCTATTTGTCGGCGCCGGAAAAGTTTAACCGTTTCAATCTACTACTGGCGCGGAATCCACGCGTTTGTCATAAATGCGGAAGCATATGCGTGCTTCACCCAAGTCAGCTGCATTAATTTTCTTCTTGAATCTACCTCTATTATCTTATTTTTTAATTTATTTTTTAATTTTACATTTGAAAATTTGGGGTTGTCACAATTACGAACAGATGTTTATTTTGAAATTATAGCATATTCTTGGAAAAATCAAATTGAAACTTGCATATGTGATTTTTCGTTTTTGAAAAAAAAAAAATCGATTTTGTATATGTGTATATATTAAAGTACACACTTGAAAATGCAAGTTATATTTCTTTTTTTTAATTGGACAATTATTAAATGTTAATTAGAAAAAGAAAAAAAGTTTTCAAATAAAAATTTAATAATCATTAATGATATTTTATTATAATCAAGTACTAAATTTTATATTTTGAATCAGTTGAATTTTTAAATATTTTTTTACCTAATTAAATTCTTAAAATCTATTTTCACTTAATTAAATGCTTGATTATATAAAAATAATTAAATATATTTCTTAAAATGATGCAATTGATGAAAATAAATATGTTGAGGGTTTAATTAACTGCAAAAAAAATAAGGGTTTCGATGATTATTAAATTTTAATTTAAGATATTTTTGACTTTTTTTGTTAGAAAATATACAAAATTATAGATACTGAAATTCAAATATTAAATTTATTGAATATTATCTTTTAAAATTGATTATATGAACTAATTAAAATAAATTTCGGATTTATAATACATATAATTTACTAAAGCTAATTTTAGTTAATTACTAAGTGTATGCTTTAATTAAGATTAATTTTCAGTTTATAACTTTATTACAAGTGAGAGATTAACTTTGCATAAGAAAAAGGACAAATGAAGAAGTAAATGATCGATTTAGAAATCTATCTTTTCTTTTGACACTAACAATTATATCTTTATCAACATGGTTTTATTTAATTTATTATATATTTTTTGTTTCATTGCATATGGGATTTTCATATGAAATATCTTGAAAGAAGCCAAAAGAATGTAGTCCTTCACAACCATATATGGGACGATGACTAATTAATTAATCTCATTCTATTATATATTATTATATACATGAATTTTGGAATGGAAATATATATAAAATATTGACAAAAGTGAAATTAATTTCCAATTTTAAAATTCGTAAAGGAATAAATAATTAATTTCCAAATAGTAGCCAAAAATTAAAGGTCCCCTACTTTCTTTTGGAAGAAAGATAAATGGGGAATATTTTATTCAAGCATATTAAATCCAATAATCACGTGTTTTATGTTTAGAAAAATGTTGGGTCTTGCGTGTGTATATGCCAATAGTGCCCTTTGTAAGTGCATTTGAAATCATAAATTTATACTTAGATTTTTGTAATAGGTTACCAAAAGTTGAATTAATTTTGATAATTAAAACTAAAAATTTAATATTTTACTAATGGATTACATGATTATTGGTGCGTATAATATGATTAAGAACTTAGCCCAAATTAAAATTGAATTAATTTTTATAACTAAAAAGTTATATATCGCGTGTATTCGAAATTTCCAAGAAATTTTATTGCCAATTTTCTTCATCTTTTGACTTTTCAAGTGTCTAAACACCCTTAGATTCCCTCCAAATGGAGTGGTTTCTTTTGAATTTAGCAAAGAAATTATCACTTTTAATTGTTCCAATCCCTCCAAAATAAATCTGTAAATATACCAAGTCATACAAAAATACACAATAGTCTTACATATGTGAAGTAACCAAAGCAAAATCCAACAAATCCCAGCCTAAATTTGCTGCTGCTGCTGCAGCAAAGCTTGACATGTTCAGATAAACCTTTTTTTTTTTCAAAAGCTTTGAAGTATGACCTGTTATTACAAAAAAAAAAAAAAAGAGAGACAGGTTTTCTGGGAATTTAGAATTCTGAAAAGAGGCAATAGAATTTTTGGTTTGGGTTAGGTTTTAAACAGATAAAGGTCATATAATTTAATGTGAATGAGTGCTTGAAACATGGGTCCCCGATTAGTTTGAAACCTCATTTTTACCATTTTTTAAAAATTTTCATACCAGTTTGTTTTCAAACAGGTAGATATGGCTGAGAAAGCTACATAAATTACAAAAACAAATAAAATATAGAGAAGCAAACAAATTTGATTATTACCCAATCAGGTCAGCCTTCCCTGGCAAGTGCCTTGCAGCCTACGGATCTTAATCAACATTAGCTCTTCAACAAGCTCCTCTATTTAAGCTCCCTTTCTTCTCTTTGTTCTACTTTCTTAACGGCCTTCCCTTTCTCTAGATCTTTATCTTCTTGCCTGATCTCTTGCTTTCCATAACAGTTCCTGATTTGTGTTATTTGTAGTTTTCTTGTTTCTGGGTTCGTTTTGTTTTGTATAACCTGTAAAAGTTTTAGTGGTTAGGGGAGTTGGTTTCCATGGAAGAAGCTATTGTTGTTAACAAAGGAGAAGACCTCCTCGATTTGCCGCCTGGTTTTCGGTTTCACCCTACAGATGAGGAGATCATTACTCATTATCTTACAGAGAAGGTAATGAACAGAAACTTCTGTGCAAGTGCTATTGGTGAAGTTGATTTGAACAAGTGTGAACCTTGGGATTTGCCTAGTAAGCTTTTCTCTTAATCAATTTTGTTGATTTTTTGACCTCCTTTCAAGCTGTTGGCTAACCTTGGATTTCTCTTTTTTCTTTTCTTGGATGTTTAGTTTTGTTATTAGTGGTTTGCTGCTGCTTTATTTGCCTTGTATTTGTGTCTAAACTTTGTTTCTTTTTGCTTAATTTTGCAGAGAAAGCTAAGATGGGAGAGAAAGTATGGTACTTCTTTTACCAGAGAGATAGGAAGTATCCGACCGGGATGAGAACAAATCGAGCAACTGAAGCTGGTTATTGGAAGGCAACAGGAAAGGATAAAGAGATTTTCAAAGGCAAAGGTTGCCTTGTTGGGATGAAGAAGACCCTTGTTTTCTACAAAGGGAGAGCTCCAAAAGGAGAGAAAACAAATTGGGTCATCCATGAATATAGGCTTGAAGGCAAATTCTCTTACCATAATCTCCCCAAGGGTGCACAGGTATATAACTAAAGCTACACTTCAAAAGCCTTTTTTTTTTTTTTACCATTTCTAAAAGCGATTTTTTCTTTTTAAGAAACTATAGCTTTTTCAATTTCATTTATCCGAAAAAGAGAGTTGTAGCTTTTCAATTTTATCATCTTTTTTCTGCTTTGTTGGTTGAGGGTTTCTTTTCATGGGGTCTCTTTCTTTGCTTTTGTGTAAATGAAGAATCTAGATAGCAAAAATGAAGGTCTTTTAATTTTTTTTTTAATTTTTTAATTTTTTATTGCAGGTTGAATGGGTTGTTTGTAGGGTTTTCCACAAGCATACAGGGATCAAGAAAAGTCCAATTCCTGATCAGCTGCTAGGAATGAATTATTTTGGGGATGATCTTATGGATTATGCATCACTGCCTCCTCTCATGGATCCTATTTACTTCAACAAAGCAGGCTCCAGCTTCACGGATTGTGAAAATGAATTGAAGGACATCAACACTACCCAAATGTCAAGATCCTCAGATGGAAACTATCCAGGCAGCTCCAACTTTCCCATAATGAATAATCAGAACTTTCTTCAGGCTCCAAATAACCATTATCAGACAGGAAACTCTACGTTCAACACTCAAATTCCAATCCAAAATCCTATCAGCCTCTTCCATCAAGGCAACCCAAATTCTGCCTACTTGCACCAAGGGAGGAGCAGTAGTGGAGCTCCAAGCTATTCCGGCTTCGGAGGCAATGATCAGGCAATTCTAAGAACATTGGCCGCCAACAGTGCTGACACAACATCTAAAGCTGACGGACAGTGCAAGGTGGAGCAGTTCTCATCAAATCAATCTATGGTCAGTCTCTCCCAGGATACAAGCCTTAGTACTGAGATTAACAACAATGAGATTTCATCTGTGGTTTCCAAGAGTATTGAACTTGGAAGCAGCAAATCTTATGAAGATTTGGGATGTTTATGGGAGTACTAAAAATTGAAGGATATGGTACTGCTGATGATCAGCGAGTTGGCTTGTTAGTTTCATAGGTATATATGATTTGAAACAGTCTTTTCTCTAACTAGGATATTATTAGATTGAAAAGTTTCATGGATTCTGATGAAAAAATGGTATACTTGTATAGATAGATTCATGATGCCCAAATCTTTTTCAGATTATTACATTTTCATTGACAGATGAGTAAGAAAGATTCCATGTACAAGAATTATTTTTTATGGTAGTGAATTTTTTCTTTTTTTCTCTATATTTTTTAGCATTAAATTCGCATTGATTCCACCATATGTTCGAATCATATTCCTACTTAAACCCCAACATACATTTAGGGTCGTTTATTTTTATGTACTCGTTTTCAACTGCCAGTTAAATGAAAGAACTCCATGTCTGAACCGTTTCATCTGATGTAATTAATATTTCAATTATTAAATTACGAAATTTTATTTATTCAAAAGTCACTTGACACTAATTGATTGGACCGATATAAATTTTTTTTTTTTATATAAAGTAAGCCCCGGATAAAAGAGAGGGTTGAAAAATAAATTTGAAAAATACAGATCTTAATTTTGAAAAATAAATTTCAATAATAATTTTTTGGTGCTAAAACAGTTTATATCTGTCGTAACGGTTTTGAGACCGCTAGACGTAAAATGAGTTTTTTTAAATCGAAAAAAATAAATGAGGATGAGTCTGTCACCAATTTTTATTAGGGTGTGATTGATCACTTAAAAATTTATTTTTTAAATAAAATTACAAAATCGATATCTACAATATCACAATATGAAACTGACATATATCAATTAAATTTAATTAGATAATGTGTAGGATGATAACGCCTTTTATCCTGAATCGATTTTTTCTTTGTACGAGACGAGGACTATAGAAATGTTGTTATAATGTTTATAACATGTTTAAAATCTCTTCAAAAGTAATGTTCTGATCCCATGACATCTATTTTTGTAACTTTTCAATGAAGTTACAAAAAAGAGGCCAGGTGTGTGTATGTAACAGATAGCCAGGAAAGAAAAGAAGAAAGAAATTAACAGGTGATTGATTAGGAATCGGTTATTGAAAGAGAAGAAAGGTTCATGTGATTGTGTGGATGTGCTTTGAGCCCCTCCATTATCTTACTTTTTATTCAAACAAAAGCTTCCGATCCTTGGGAGATTCAAGCTTCCAGCAAAGTTAACCAGCCTTTTGTTTTGGTTTTTTTTTTTTTTCTTGGTTACTCTTTTTATTTTTTTATTTTTTCGTTTTATGTAGGATGGTAATTAATATAGAAAAAAAAATTTTATGAAGCAAGGACGAGATGTAAGGGCTAAAACCAAAATTTAAAGAAAAATAAAAAGAGAGAATATTATTTTTATAAAAAAAAATTGATAATTATAAAAATAATACGATTTAAAATTTTATAAAAATAAAAAATATTTTATATTTAATACATCGTTACGATTATATATATTAAATATAAATTATTAAATTAAAAAAAAAAAGAAAGAAAAAACCCTGATTTGTTGCATGAAAAAATGGGGATTCCGACCAATTGTCAGACTCCACCGCGTATTATTTGTGTTACATCGTTGTCAGATGTTGACAGTGAACGTGATTTTCTTTTCTTTGTTATCATTTTATAATCTCGTATTTTGTGATAAAGATCCTATCCGCGTTTTAGTTTTTGCTATCTTTTCACCACCCAGGCTGGCTACTGCTCACAGTCACACCGCCTTGGTCATTTCCTCGTTTTTTTTCCTCTTTTCTAGAAGAAATTCTTGGATTCAATTAGAGATGTAAATCTTACCGATATTCAATAGAAAATTTGATTTTTTATTTTAATAAAAATGATAATTAATATTATAATATAAAAATGAAGATAAAAATAATTTTAATTTTAATTTGTTATTAGATATAAAAATAAAAAAAATAATAAATGAATCATTTAAATTAAGTTTTAAATTCGAAAAAACATTAGTTAATGAAACTTAGATAACAAAATCAGATGTTTCACAATATTATTTGTATATAAAATTAAAATTTGATTTTGACATATTTTTTATATTAGACGCCTAATATTTATATCAATGGACGTGCGAAACTCATTGATTGTTGAATAAGTTGTTATCAAAACGTATGTATTTTTGTGTAAAATTTTGTATGAACGGTGATGGTGTAAACAGATATTTGGATACTACCATCACAATATTAATGAGTGAGACAAGTAAGAGAGGAGAAATTTCATATAACACTGACTTCAAAATATTCAATTCAACCAATGTCTTAAGATTTAATGGCATGAAAGCTACTAACTGTTTAGAAAAAGTAGATGTAGATATAGATATAAACACTTTTTCATAACGTCAGCGAACGCGTAAACTTTCCACAGCACCTAAAAATATTCTAGAATTTGGGGGGTTGATTATTTTAAATATATTTTATTATTTATGTATTCGTATTATATAAAATATATTTTTAATTTTATTAAATTTATATATAATTATTTTTAAAAATTTTAATTATACCTTATATCATATTTATATAATATTACTATATCAAATTTAATTTCGAAGGATCTTCGTTCCAGAAGGGTTAATTTTCTTAGTAATTGGAATGGGAAATTTCTTGCCTTTCTTCTCTTTTTCCAAGGGAACAAACGTTTCTGTTGTCTCGTTGATCTGTATAAAATAAGTTTGAATTTCTAGAACATTTGAACAGTATTCTTCTCATATTTTTTGATAAATAAAGAATTTTTTATTTAATTACCAAAAAATAAAATAGGAAGACTTGCTATATGATTACATAATATAACTCTTCCAACATCACAAAACAAATTAGGAATTAAATTTGTAAATATTAATTTTTTTTTTTTTAAAAACGACTGTATAAACTACAAAAAAATCTCTTTGGATGCAGGAAAGTGATTGCTGGATGTTTATTTAAGACTAGATATAAATCTCAATAAAGATATTTAGGTCACAAGTCACTTCAGTCTTATCTTGAGTTGCCCCACCTACTTAAATTCCTAAAATAACAAAAAAAATGTGTATTATTCGAGCACAGTGCTTTTGTACATATAACACTATCTGTTAATATATTAGAAAATGAAAAAAAAATTTATACTATAAATTTTTTAAATATAATAATTTGTGTATTTATATAATATAAAAATATTAAAATTTATATATTAATATAATATTTTATAAAAATTATATATTATAATTCTTATAATATAAAAATATAAAATATTTTAATTTTAATTTTATTAAACTACCATATAATTATTATTAAAATTTTAAATTATATCATCTTCATATTTTATTTTATATTATATTTATATTGTTAAATTTAATTTTAAAAGAAACATGCATATTTTATTTCAAAATGAGAAATATTTAATTTTCAAAAGCAAATTTACATATTTTTTTGACCCACGAAAGCAAATTTACATTTACTTGAATAGTTAATATTCATTACAAAAATTAGGAAAAGAGCCCACGGTTGGAACATGAATCTGTGCCGTAGAGAATCAAAACCTTTAGAGTCTTGAAATGGCACGAACTACGGAGTTTTTTGTTACTTTTGCTTGGACTTTTTTTGTGCAACGGTGAAAACAGAATTTGGCCATAAAGCTGTCTTGGGATCAGATGACGTCATCAGTAATCTTGTTTCTCAATCTGTACCTTTTTTAACGCGCTGCCACGTCGTTACAGCTCATTTCACGAGGATTATTACGTAGTGGGCCCTTCGCTTTATTTTCATTCTCTTCCTTTGGATTTTTCAATTCGGTAAAAAAAAAAAAAAAATCCAATCTATATATAGACGCATGCTATGTGTAATTTTTTTATTATAAATTTATAATTATTTAACCGTAATATTAAATTATGCATAATTTTATCATTTATAAGTGTAAATTTTATATAAAATTTTAATAAATTTTAAAAAATTTTAAATTATAATTAATTATAATATAATAATTGTAGGTAATATATTCCTATATATATATATCTATTTAACATATGATAAAAACTTAATTTAGTGATATTGAAATCAATTTTAAAATTAAAAGTCTTAAATTTAAATCTCAATCATAATTCAAAAATTAAAAAATTAAAAAAAAACTCAAATGTAATAATCTTGATCTGCATAATTTAGAAGAATGAAATAATAAATGTAATAGTGAACTATGGTGTATAAAAAAAAGGTTTGAAAATACATATAAATTAAACGAATTTACGATTTTTTTTGGACACAATGCTTGATGATAATAAAAATGTTAGTAAATCATAATATGAATGATGTGAACATCCTCTTAATCATTATGGAATATTATTTACAAAATAGAAAAGTTCATAGTTTCCAATCAATATTACGGAGGAGAAATGAAATGAAGAAACCTACAAAACAAGTCTAACAAAATATACAATATTTGCAGCTTTCGCAAAAATTATTTTAATCCAAACAGTAAAATTTCACAAATTCTATTACATATAAGAAAGTGGGATTCAATTCTTAAAAGCTAATATGAAGTTAATAATGTGGATGATTCTAATTCAAGGTTCGAACTCTCTTTCTTGCAGGATGATATAGGATGCTTATCAGGGATAATAACGGGTTGGGTTGAGATAAATTTTTTTTTACTTTGAATTCGATTTGATTCTATATTTATAATATTCAAATTCGACCTGATCCGATGTTTTTTTTATGCTTTTATATTCGAATCTAATCTGATTTAATATTATATAAAATTGTATATGATTTAATCTAATTCAAAATTAATAAAATATTATTTTTTAAATATAAAAAATTATTTTTATTATAAATATATAATTAAATAAATAATTAAAAAATAATTTTTTATATATATTGGATCGATGTGACTTTACTTAAAATTTGACCCAAGTTTTAATTTATAATTACTCGACTTGACTCAAAACTCAAAATTTAAAAAAAAAAAAACTAACCCTAACAAACTGAATCAAATCAGAATCCGTTGAATACAGGTTGAGAAATATTTAATTTTCAAAAGCAAATTTACATATTTTTTTGACCCACGAAAGCAAATTTACATTTACATGAATAGTTAATATTCATTACAAAAATTAGGAAAAGAGCCCACGGTTGGAACATGAATCTGTGCCGTAGAGAATCAAAACCTTTAGAGTCTTGAAATGGCACGAACTACGAAGTTTCCTGTTACTTTTACTTGGACTTTTTTGGCGCAACGGTGAAAACAGAATTTGGCCACAAAGATGTCTTGGGATCAGATGACGTCATCAGTAATCTTGTCTCTCAATCTGTACCTTTTTTTACGCAGTGCCACGTCGTTACAGCTCATTTCACGAGGATTATTAAGTGGTGGGCCCTTCGCTTTATTTCATTCTCTTCTTTTGGATTTTTCAATTCAGTAAAAAAAAAAAAAAATCTAAACTATTTATGGATAGGGATGAACAAAAATCGATTTGAATCAATTAAATCGATCGAAATTGAATGAATTTAATTGAATCGATTTGATTTATTCGATTTTAATTATAATCGATTTTTTAAATAAGTTAAATTGATTAATTCGATCGATTTTTTATTTTTAAAATTGATAACTACACTAACTGAATTAATCGACTTTCTAATAATTAAAAATAAAAAAAATTGAGATAAATATTTTTATTTATTTATTTTTGTAAAATATTGTTGAAATTATTAAATTCTTTAGTAATTTAATTTGAATGATATTAGAGTTTGAATTTTATTGAATTGAATTTATGGTTAAATAATTATTAATAATAGGAAGAAAAATCATAAAAAAATTGATAATTTAACCTAACCGATTGAACCGAACCGATTTTGATCGGTTCGATTATTTGTTAAATGAAAGTCGATTAAATCGATTATTGATTTTTTCAAACCGAACCGATCGAATCGACCATTTACTCACCCCTATTTATGAACTATAAGAATTATGAACTATATATGGACGCATGCTATCTACAATTTTTTTATTATAAATTTATAATTGTTTAATTGTAATCTTAAATTATGTAAATTTTTATCATTTATAAGTGTAAATTTTATATAAAATTTTAATAAATTTTAAAAAATTTTAAATTATAATTAATTAATTATAATATAATAATTGTAGGTAATATATTCCTATATATATCTATTTAACATATGATAAAAACTTAATTTAGTGATATTGAAATTAATTTCAAAATTAAAAGTCTTAAATTTAAATCTCAACCATAATTCAAAAAATAAAAAAAATAAAAAAAAAACTCAAATGTGATAATCTTGATCTACATAATTTAGATGAATGAAATAGTAAATGTAATAGTGAACAAAAAAAGGTTTGAAAAGATACATAAATTAAACGAATTTATGATTTTTTGGACCCAATTGCCAATGATAATAAAAGTGTTAGTAAATCATAATATGAATGATGTGAACATCCTCTTAATCATTATGGAATATTTTTTACAAAATAGAAAAGTTTATAGTTTCCAATCAATATTACGGAGGAGAAACAAAAGAAGAAACCAACAAAACAAGTCTAACAAATATACAATATTTGCAACTTTCACAAAATTTTTAATATAAAAAGTAAAAGTTCACAAATTTTGTTACATATAAAAAAGTGGGATTCGAATCTTAAAACCTAATCCGAAGTTATTAATGTGGATGATTCTAATTCAAAGATCAAACCCTCTTTCTTGTAAGACGATTTAAGATACTGATTAAGGATGATAACAGGTTGGGTTGAGATGGAGGTTTTTTTCACGTCGAATTTAATCCAACTTTATATCCATAATATTCGAATTCGACCTAATCCAATGATTTTTTTTTATGTTTTTATGTTCAAATTTAATCCGACTTGATATTATGTAAAATCATACTTGATTCAACACGACTCAAAATTAATAAAATATTATTTTTTAAATATAAAGATTATTTTTAATGTAAATATAAAATTAAATAAATATAAAAAATATATAAATTTAAATTTAGATAAATAATTAAAAATAATTTTTTATATATATTGAATTGGGTCGGGTCAGATCGGAGTAGGTTTGTCTAAAACCTAATTCCGGCTTTAATTTACAATTACTTTACCCAATTCAAAATTCGATTTTCAAAAAAAAAAATCAACCTTAGGAGGTCGGATTAAGTTAAAATCTGTTGGACATGGGTTGAGTTGTCATCCTTAATGCTGATACACTATAGGGTGTGTAAAAAGATTTTGTCTTCCAATTTTGGATCTAGCAGCAATGAAATTTTAAGGAAGACATGAAAGCTTGGGGGTTCGAATCAAGCTAATCATCTCCCATGTAACAGGGCTTTGCCTTTCTGTGAACCAAAAAAATTGATTAAGGATTTTGTATTAGATAAAGGCAAAGCCCTTTTTCCACTAATCGGGCTGCTTATCTGGACCAAATCACGAGATAATGCTTTATTTCGGACCATATCCTTGATTAGATCAATAAACGCAAGGTTTTTTTTTAAATAGTTTCTGATTTTGTTCTGATTCAAGGGAGAAGTATTTTTTTTTAGTATAAAAGAGATAGTATTATGAGACTAGAACAGTGGTTGCAGATATTAGAATTTGAATTTTTGAATACTTCAAATTTCAAGATAGAAGATTTTTGAGCATCACGATTGCTTCACCATATGGTAGATTCCATGGCAAAATACTGAAGAAGATGAAGATGCAATGGTGGCACTGTAGTAAAGACTAATGAGCCGAGAAGTGTGGGTAATAGAGAAACTGCAATGTCAAATATGAATAGAAACTCTGTCAAATTTTTTATGCAATTCTTTTTCCCTCAAATCCTTTTCTCCTTCTTATTATTCTCTTCGCTCAATCTTACTTCAGTGTTTATCATCATTTGCCTTTGCACTCAATAATTCAGGTGTGTCTTGTTCTTTTGATTACTTAGACAACAGATAATTTCAGACGGCAGAAATGATTCCTAAATTGTCAAGAGTTGGTACTAAAGAACTTGGCTAGGATTTTGCTTGTTTTGTTTTTTAGTTTTTGAGAAACTTACAATATGGTACAATCTTTTATAGCTGGTTATCGAACATGATGAGATGATATAAAAATAATATAATAAATACAAAATCGATATGCTTTAAAATTTTAATAAAAAACAATTGTGAGATTTGGGTTTGTAAATCATCTCTTGACATGTCTTACATTCAAATAATGCTTTGGGCCAGCCCCAGTCCTTAAAACATTCGTTTCTGGCTGGCTTCAGTTTTTTTTTTAATCTAATTTTTCAATCGTGGCCCAACTTTGATTTTTTTTTAATCTAATTCAAGTAATTCTGGCTGGCTTCAGATTCAATCAAAATTAAATCTTGATTGAAAAAAAATAGAAAGTTGCTTGTTATGAACTGGACTAATCTGTCACGATTAGACTCAACTGGGATTAATTAACGGTATCTTTTAAAGGAAAAAATGTCCCCATGCCTGAAACCATCCAAATAATTGAAGTAAGGCATGTGAATATGGATAAGAAACCTGGCTCCCAGCTATGAACCAAATTTACTTTTTGACTGGCAAACATATCCTGTCAGTTTTAAACAGATTTCCATTTACAGATCATTGCAGCTACGACTCTAAAATACTCTTGTCTTTCATGTTCATTTATAACTTTGAAGATAAGTTCAGATTCTGAAACAGATAAAATTTTACCAAAACAAGCTGCTGCCTGCAATAAGTGCCTAACTCTAGCTTGACAAACTATGACTCTTTTAAGCAATTAGCCTTTCCCCTCGATAAGTTTTTAAGCAATTACTTCTCAGATGGAAATATTTTGCAGCAATTCCCATAACATTGCCAGGCAAGAAGCTATAACTTAGATTCAATTATACAGCACAGACCAAAAAGGTCTACAATATATCATGCTGCCTAAATTTCCCATTTCAATTAATACAGCACAGACCAAAAAGGTCTACAATAAATCATGCTGCCTACATTTCCCATTTGATCTGTAACCAACACTTTTAGTACATAGGGGACCAAAGATCATGGGGGAGAGGAGAATGCAATGGTATTAAAATCCCAATTTTACATTAACTGAAGTTGCTTGATTTAATAAGAATTGAATACTTCATTTGTAAGGTTTAGATTAAATTTTCATTATCAGTAATCTTTTTAAATAAACAATCTGTAAATCTAATATAAATTTTCGTTGAAGCTGCTTGATCCTAGAATGGGATAGTGTCCCCTAATCTAAATTTTTTTGTACAAAAAAAAATCCCAATCTTATAGAAAATCCACTTATTAGGGGGGGTGATTGATCCATTCAGATTAATTAAGCTCTAGATTCAATTGTGACTAAAGCTTTTAATCATTGTGCTTCTTGTTAACATTTCCATTTCTAAAGCATGGGATTTATTAATTAGTAGTGATTTTCATTAAGGATTTTCGGGTGTATATTAAGCACTGTTAACTTTTTACAGTAAAAATATCAGTGTCCATCAATATTCTGCGTAAGCTTTTCTGAAGGGCCACATGAATAATTTAGACATTCATCTTATCTTCTCAAACCAAAGCTAATGTGAATAATTAGTGTGATTATGACAAAATTTTCTGCTCTCATTATTATATATTATAGTTAGACACCAATCATATGCCATTATATGTCATTTCCTTAATGTCTGCTAATGACAAGATTAGCAAATAAAGAAACATGATTAGAGGATTTTCATGTAATCTTCAATGCTTGTTAGGTACTGCATTGTTTATTATTTCTCCCATATTGCATTTGTATTTTGGTAAAGAAGCAGCTAACTGAGTTGTCTCTTATCCAACCATGAAATGAATCAAAGAATTAATGTACAAGCAATAATAACGTAATTAAGAACTAAGAAGGGTACCTACTAGTAGGAGATGTGACTATTCGTGCATATGTGTTGTCTTATCATACATGTATAAATCACAAAAAGTATCATTTCACGATCGATGTTGATATGAAAATATATCTTTTAATTTTTATCAAATTCATATATAATTTTTAAAAAATTTAAATTGTATCATTTTCATAATTTTTTTATATTATTATTTTTATCATATTATTATATTATATTTAAAATTATCAAATTTATTTATTTGTTCACTTAGTTTATTTTTGAGAGATCTTGTAGATTCGTGTCTTTAATTGAAATATTTAATTAGTAGTTTATTTAATACAAAATTTAGGTTTAATTTTTAGAAAATCTGGGGTATAAAGTATCATTTATAAATAAATAAAACATAGAAAAAGTATCCAATTCTCATCCAAATATGCTTCAACTTGTTTGTGTTCTTACTGAAAAGGACCTGACAATCTTGATTCCATTTGTCTTTGGCACAACAATAGTGTAGAAAGTAATTAGCTTTAGAATAATAATCCTTTTTCTCTCCTTTCATAAAAAAGAATCATATAATCAAATTCAAGCAACATGCTATTTATAAAGTGTGAATCTGATCTGCCACAGTTCCACCACTACATAAATTTTCTACAAAAATCATACAATCAAATTCTTTTTTAACTCCTTTTGTAACTTCTTTTGTAGTTCAATGTTTCTAACCCAAGTTTTGTCATGTTTCAAACAGAAAAATCAAACACGCTTCCTTCTGAATCACCAAGGCCTAGACAAGCTCTATCATTGGTTATTCTTCTTATCTTTCCTCCCAATTTCTTTTCTATTTTCCCTTTTTTTTATTTTTTTAAATTTTAGAATCTTTCTTTTATCCTTGGAATTGAAGGTGAGGACTTAGAAGTAAACTCTGGTTGAAGAATGATTGGTTTAAAAAGTTGTATTGAGTTGTATCAGATTGGCTGGTGCTGTTACTGTAACTGCAGGAGCTGATAGGTTTCTTTGATGGCTGCAAGTAATCCTCATCAATGCCTGAGTATTGGCGCTTGAGTTTGTTTTCCATGTTTGGAACTGAAGAGTTCAACATGCTGCTGCTGTTGTTGCTGCTATTGGTGTAGTTATTCACCAGGGGCGGTTCCAGGTTGGCAAAGCTGAAGGAAGATGATTCATATCCAGTTGCATTGCACTGATTGTCTGCTAGGAAATTACTCAGCAGTGAGTAGTCCATGGCATCTAACAAGTTGGAGAAGGAACAAGATTTCTGCGGCTGGAGGGTGTTGTTGTTTGGAGGACTTTTCAAGGCTGGCAGAAAGGCATCTTGAATGAACTGTTCTGCTTCCTCTTCCTCTTGATCCTGATCACTTGATGGTAGTATTGAAGATAAAGCATGGGACTTCTTGTAGATCCGGCAAAGAACCCAATCATCTAACTGACAAAGTACATTAAAAAAACAGAGAAAGAAACTTATATCAGTAAATGTGTGTAAATTAAATGTTAAGGGTACATTTGAACATGGAGCACAGAATAAATGGCTTGATTGTAATTGCAGTACATTACATGTCATGTAAGTTCTAAATCCACTGTGCAAAATGCAATCATTTGATTTTTTTTATTTAGAAAAAATGGAAAAAAAAAAATCAATGTCACTATCACAATTAGCATACCATAAGTTGAATTTTCAAGATCCTACAAAATGCCATCATTTTATATCTTTCATTTCCTTTTCTAGTGATGCATATCATTTTCCCAAAACGCTCTCATGATAAAAGGTCCCCTTCTTGACATAAAAATTCAATATCAAAGCCAATCAAATGCACTGTTTAAAGATGAGGCTCACCCTCATGGAGCAATCTTTAGACTTCACTGGTCTATTGTTATAGTTGGAGTTAGGGTTCTCTGCCAGCCGATATTCATGCATGATCCAATTAGTCTTGATCCCCTTTGGTGGCCTTCCCTTGTAAAACACCAAAGCTTTTTTTACACCAATATTCTCTTGCACTCCACCCCCTCTGGCTGCCATTGAAGATGTAACTATAACCTTATCCGTGCCAGTCGCTTTCCAATAGCCGGACGCAGCTGCCCTGTTTGGCCTTGCACCGTTAGGGTACTTGCGGTCTCTAGGACTGAAAAAGTACCATTCTTTCTCACCAAAGGCAGCTTTAGCTGATTGAAAAACCAACACCAAACATAAAATTTCCACGTTAAAACAAGCTCAAAAAAATACCCCAGGAAGTTATGTTTATGATTCCAATGATGATAACATGAAAAGGGTTGTTAAAGAAAACCTCACCTGGTAAGTCCCAGGGATCAAACTTGTAGATATCGACGTCGGCGATGATGGAAACAGGGAAGGCTGAGGAACTGACTTTCTTCTTTAGGTAATGAAGGATGAGTTCCTCATCTGTAGGGTGGAACCTAAACCCTGGGGGCAAACTTGGTTGTGGATGCTTCATGTTTTAACTAAACTAACTTGTTAACTATAGCAACCTCGTAGCCAAGAAGTGAAAAGGAAAAAAGGGTTTTGACAAGGGAAAAGAAAGGAGCTAAAACAAGGGCAAGAGCTGATCTCCAAGTTTGGTTTTGGAAGCCAACCAACAGCAAAGGATTGAAATTTTTGGGAGTGCGAGGAAGGGAAGGCATTTTATGGATGTGTGATTTTTGTCGTTATGTGTAAAAACAAAAACAAAATAAAAAAACAAAGAAAAAAGAAATGAAATCAGTTTGTAGTTTGCATACATTGGTTTTGAAAGGTTCCCATCCGAAGTGCCAGCTGTGGGGGCTTTCAAGATTATTGGTTCCCCTTTCAATTTTGTCTTCACGTATGGGAAAAGATGGCGGCTTCATTGTCCTTTTTATGAATTCTTGCCACCTGTCATCTTGTCCAATGTTTGGCCTTTGATGTCTGAGATGCAAGTATTACTTACACATATACTTTCTTTCTTCCCACCATATGATAAACTATAAACCAATCAAGTTATAACAAGTCATAAAATTTTGGTAATATACATGAATTCATAAAAATAAAATTATTTAATAAAATTATATTGTCCTGTAATTTTTTTCACTTAATTTTATAAAAAAAATTAGAAATATTAAAATTTAAAATTATTGTATATTAAAATTTAAAAATAATTATAATGGTTGAGGCAGTCCTAGTCATGACTGCCGTAAATATGTGTACCTCTTGACATGTTCTTTAGGTTTCTATCTAAGGATTTGTTGCATAACATCAAAGCTGGCAGGTGAGGAATGGAGGAAGTGGGGGCCAAAGGGGGCCTCAATGTCTTCCAATGGATCCAAAAGAAAGGCGAAAACAAAAAAGGGGGGTCTTGAGATAAGGTTGTGGGAGAAAGAAAAGATGGTTGGAGATGATAACAATGGTCAAAAATGGAGTTTAGTGGATTGCAGTGCTAGACCATTGTTATGGGTATTTTTTGTTCAAAAAATAAATTGCATTTTTTTAAAGACGGTTAATAAATAATCAAAAATATTTTTTATTTTTGATTTGATTTGATATGTTAACTCAGTTATATTATCATTTATTTTATAAATCTCTCACATTTTATTTATAAATAAAATTATTTAGATACTATCTATTGAACTTATTTTTTTTATTCTATTTTTAATCTCTTATAATCGATTTTTTACTTGAATGTTGAAATGTAAATGTAAAATATATATTTTTTTGTGATTTAAAAATTTTGACTCTCAACTCAAAGCTCGACACAAATAACCATCATTTTAATTGAGCAAAATTTTATTGTAATAGAAATTAAAATAGCATTTGAACCATTTTTATTTTTGTTTTGTTTCTATTCAAAGCATGTAACCACAAAGGAGATTATTCAAGAAGATAATTAAATTAAGATAAAACCGAAAAACATGTTTCATTGTATTATTAAAAAAATAATCTCAAAAGGATAATAGCATTGATTTATCGAATATATAAAAGAAAAAAAAAAGAAGCAAAAGCAAAAGCCATAAAAAGGCAAAGAGCATTTCTTAATCACAACTTTTGGGAGAACCAGATTCAATGATGCTTGGGCCATTGATTTGAGTGTTCAAGACGTTTTAAATGATTAGAAGTGAAGTGTGGATAATAGATTAGTAGTGCTACTTCAATCTTTATCCACAATCCGCATGTTATCTTATTTATGTTTTTTTAGTAAAATAAGATCATTGAATTTAAATTGCGAAAATTTTGAAAAAAATAATTTTTTTATAAATTTATTAAATTTATTTGAATCAATTCAAAAAATATTTTATCGAAGATTTAGATTCCGATTGGGTAATCATTCTTTTAATTTTTTTTCAAACAAATTTTTAAGGCAATAATAATTCTGATATAAAGTAATAATGTAACAAGTGACATATCTCACATTCAAAACTCGTTTTTGCTTTAGAAGATTTTGTTATAATACCATATCAAATACCAAACTAATAAATAAATATTTCATTTATAGGAAAATTTTGTTTTTTGGGCATTTGGTTTGCGTAATCTTGAATTTTAAAAAAAAATATGATATCCAAAAAAATGTGATATTTAGAGTTTTATTTAATTTTTAAGGTATTTCGTATTTAAATTTACTCATTTGATTAAAAAAATTTATGTTTATTAATTTTTATATAATTATCATAATTTTCTTGACAAATCTTATGGCAACCTTTCATTTTATTCTATTACTAATAATATTCAAACAACAAATGATGTCATTAATAGTAAAAAAAAAATTTAATTGACTATTGTCTTAATTTATAAAACATCATCAATTAAGGGGTTTGGTGTATATGATCGCCTTAATTGATTTTTTTATTTATTTATAAAACATGATCAATTAAGACGTTTTTTATTATGAAGGCCTAATTTATTTAAAACCAGTTATATATAGTTAACATATCAATTAAGAAGTCTCACATTATAAACATTTTAATTGATCTTTTTTTATAATACATTTGTCAAGGGTCGAGACTCAAGTTTCAGACTCGCACGGTTCCAGGACTCGAGCATCTCGAATCAGTTTACCTGTCACGGTTCACATCTTTGTGAGATATTGTTCGTTTTAACTTTCTTTACTTTACGATTTTATCTTACAAAAGGTACCTTACAAAGGGAAGGCGATGTGAACTTTTTTATATCCTAGTGATCTTTTTTTTTATGTTTGATATGAGATTCATCACTTATTCTTAGGTCCGTGATATTCTCTTTTACCCAATCTCATAATGCCCTCGTCGCGAAGGTTGTTCACTTTGTCTACCTCTTTCGAGGCGTTTGATATGGGTCGAACGATTTAGGGTTAACTCTGATATCACTTGTTATGGGCCGAGACTCAAGCTCCAGACCCGAGGGACTCCAAGATCCGGGCATCTACTCTTCTGTCATTCCGGATCAACTTTCTTATTATAGTTCACATCTTTGTGAGGAATTATCCGTTTTAGCTCTCCTAATTTTACGATTTTATCCTACAAAAGACACCTTATAAGAGGAAAGTGAACCCTTTTATACCTCAATAATCCTTTTTATGTTCGATATAAAATTCAAAATTTTTTTTTAAATCTGTAATATTCACATAATTGATCGTTTTTTTATAATTTATAAAATAGGTCAATTATAAAACAAATCAATTAAGGTGTTTGTGTTTATGAATGTTTTAATTGATCATTTTTTTTTAAACATAATCAATTAAGGTGTTCTTAGGTTTACGTGTCTTTTTTGCTTTAGGTCAATTAAGGCATTTTAGACAATGAATGCCATAATTGGTTGGAATTTTATTCAAACCGCATTTATTGTTATAAAAGCTTTAATTGTTAGGGAAGTAAAAAGTATTTTAAAAAACTCAAGTAATACATTTTTAAGAAGAAACACTTTAATTGATAATAAATTAAGATATTTTTTTAAATGATAACATTTTATTTTTGAATTAAAATGTTTTTTGAATTAATTGATTATCAATTGAGGTTTTTCTCTCCCTTAAAACGTCTTAATTGCAACATAAATAAAAAAATTAATTTTTTTTTTACAAAAATGCTACAATTGAGTTTTAAATTTGTTTTTTAAAAAGATAATAGATAAGTGATCAAATTTTTATTTAGATCAAATTTAAAAATAAAGTAATTTTTTTTTAAATTTTAAAATATCATAAAAAAATTGTAGTTTTAATTTCGAGATTTCAAGTATAATTGGGAATTTGACATATTCGTTCATAATTAAATTATCTTGAATTAAACATTAAAAATAAATATCCACCGTCAAAATTTTGAAAAAAAATTTATGAATTTTTCGAACCAAACTTACAAAGTAAAAATAGTTAAAGAGTGAACTGAATTTCACCGCTTTTTAGTTTAAACATGAAAAGAATATGCCTCCAAAGAGACATCCAAGTTTATTCTTTGTCAAATTATTGGATATATATATATATATATATTTAAAGAAAAAAATTATCATTCCTTTCCAAGCTTTTGAGAGGTCTGGAACTTCAAATGATTATGTTAATTATTCCCAATGCTTCATTTGTAAGATGCAATAAGCAAAGATTTGCCCCCCCAAAGGCCACACGTTTCCACTATTTTTATTTTTAATAATATAATAATCTTGGACCATATCTAAAAGCTAATCATTTGTTTCCTTAATGCTAGGTCAGCAAGATCCTAATTAAGGATAATTAGGGATATAAGTCTATGTCACGTTTGCTCTTAACCAAAGTTAATTAGTGATTGAATTCAAAGTTTAATTCAATTATTTGTGTGAGATAATATTTAGTAATTTAAAATACAAAGTCTAACATAATTTTTTTAAAAATTTTTTAATTAAGATTTTTTATAAAAAATTAATTAATGATTAGTACGTATGAATAATCTCACCATGACATCAATAGTTTAAGGCAATAGCTAAGTCTGCTACAAATTTCTTGTTATGTAATCCAATCTATTTTCCTGTACAATGTGAAAACATGATCAGAAAATCCGGTAAGTTATTGACAATTGACTTTAAAAAAAAAAAAATTAACAAAGTCAATCCTTGAATAATTAATCTTCCTACTCACGTGTGATTTACATGAATTGCATTTTGGTGGGTGAGTTTTTGATTTAGTCATAAATTCATAACAAGAATCTGAGCTAAGTCAAAATTTTCTTATGTCCCTAACTCCGAAAAATTAGCAACCATAGCAAGTTATGATATGACTTCTTCATTCCTGACAATGGCTGTAGTATATATTATTTAAGCACATTCATATTTTCAACAAAAATAATTCGTCACCAAGAATGCATAAAACAGATTTTACGTGAAAAACTTCAAAAAATACGTAATTTTTTATTGATCTCGTGAAGAATGCTTAGTTTCCTTCATAAGGACTTAATCTAATTTCTTAATGAGGTAGAGTTATTTCAGTTTGCTTCCCCAGTTATGAAAATTGACTGAATTTTTTTATTTTTAATGTCAAAAGGATCAAAGTATAGAGCGGATTTTGTGGACGGGGAAGAATTGAATAAAAATTTTAGAGGGAGCCAAGTTTAAAATAATATATGTATTTTGTTTGATTACAAAGGAAGACCTGAAAGCAGATTTTAATAATCGAATTATGGCTATTAATTATTCCTTAAGATTTCTTGACAATCAAATCTAGCACGGCAGGGCTGTAAGAACAATGACAAGAAGGAGAAAAAAAAAAAAATTCAAATTTGGCTATTTCTTGGGAGAAGACTTCCAGGATTT